TATGGTCAACTTGTAATAATTAAAATACATCCTGCTTATTAGATATTTGTATTATGATATATAACAATATCAAAATTATAGTTATAAAGTAGCAATAAGAATAATTTTATGGCTAGGGATCACTACCACAAGAGAAACTGTTTTAAAGGTCCCAGAATTAGTAAGTTTTAGAAATACTGGTCTACAGGGATGATCTTTCATTTTTTATTATCTCTTCAGTGACATTCACTGCTTTCAATAGAGCACCACATTTTATGCTTTTGTATTTGCATCTTTGAAGTTTATTCCTGTAAGTTAAGACTATACAGTCAACAGAAAGTGAATTTTCAATTTTGCTAAATCCCTTTCCCTGTTTATCACACAGCATTCCCATTGACAATATGGTAAAGTACCTTGCTTTCTTACAGTTCCACACAGCATTAATGCCAAGATAGAATAGTAGATCTTCTTTGGAGCAAATAGTTTTCTTTTAAATGTAGAACATTAATTTCTCACATATTTCACACATATATGTAAAGTGTTCTATTTTACAAAATATACAACCATAAGATAATTTTATTTTTGCTTGTGTTACTAGGTTTTTGCGGCCTTATAAACCAGTTTTTTTTTTTTTGTTTTTTTTTTTTTGAGACAGCGTCTCATAAATTTCAAGGTTGCACTTTCCTTCCTTAGTATCTAAGTTATGACATTCTCCTCTTTCTTCCAAGTCTCCTTGGTAATTTCTTCCTAAAGCAGAGGCCACTGATGTGGGATTCCCCTCTGTATGCTATGAACATGTTTTATTACCACTAGTTAATAAAGAAGCTGCAAGCTTGGTGGTAGTGGCACATGCCATTAATTCCAGCACTTGAGAGGCAGGTGTGCCAGCCTGGTCTACAAGAGCTAGTTCCAGGACAGGCTCCAAAGCTACAGAGAAACCCTGTCTCAAAAACCAAAAACAAACAAACAAAAATAAAGAAGCTGCTTTGGCCTATGGCAGGGCAGAAAATCCAAGCAGAGGTAAGAGAAAAAGAAGGTGGAGCCAGGCAGAGGCTGCATAGCTGTCGAAGGGGAGAGAAGCCAGTTAAACACCAAATAAAACAAGAAAATGAGGTAACAGCACGGCCACGTGGCAATACATAGACTAATAAAATGGGTTAATTTAATATGTAAGCAGTAACTAGAAATATTCCTGAGCCATCAGCCAAACAGTATTGTAATTTTTGTGTGATTATTTCGGTCTGGGTGGCCAGGAAATAAAGGTGCAGTCTCTGCCTACAGGCTGTTAGGTGATTTTCTTACTCTACCATCCAAAGTGTAAGATGAAGAAAAAAGAAAATCTCATTGGATGGTAGTGGTGACGCACATCTTTAATCCCAGCACTGAGGCAGAGACAGGCAGATCTCTGTGAGTTAGAGACCAGCAGAGTCTATAGAATGAGTTCCAGGACAGCCAAGGCTACACAGACACTGTATCCAACAAATAAATAAGTAAATTTAAAAGAAAGGAAGGAAAGAAAGAACGAACAAAAGACAGACAGACAGATAGGCCTCAAAGGGATTATCAGAAAAGTGGTAGAGAGACCATAATACCCAAAAAAGTCACATGACATGTGCTGAAGGACAATGGTTTGTACCCTCACAATTATATTTTAATAAAAAGCTGATTGGCCAGTAACTTGGCAGGAAGTATAATCAGGACAACCAGCAAGAGGTAGAGGTGGGGTGATGAGAACAGGAAAATTCTGAGAAGAAAGTCCTAGTCTGCAGTCGTGACCCAGCCTCAGAGGAAGCAAGATGTGACTATCTCACTGAACCTTAAGACAACAGAATGGTGCTCAACGTGTAGACAACTGCATCCACAGTAAGCCTGAGAGAGCTTGGGAAAAGAATAGAACTAAGCAAGGCTTATTGATAGCAGCATTCTCTCAGGTGGGCTGTTTTCTAGAAGCAAATGTGTCTCGTTTAAGAGAAGCTTCCTGACTCAGCTTTAGATGTAAAAACTTTGCAGCCCTTTTAAGAGGCTCTGCCACAAAACACTTAAATGGTGTTTATGAATAGCGTACAGCATGCTTCTTGACGGCACCACAGACCTTGAAACATCACAGAGTTGTGGTGATAAACATGGCTCCGGCTGATACCTCCACCATGAGGCTGGACTCTCAGAAAGCTAAAGAATGGGCCGGATCCAGTTGTCAAAGCCACGGCTTTAATCCTAGCCATATTGCTTAGCAAATTAAAGACTCTGGTCGTCAGAAAAAGAGAGATATACAGTAAAGAGGATTCAAAAACAAAGAAAACCTCTAAATAATGGTTTACAGTGTGTTAAGAATATATGCAGGCTTGAGAGAGAAAAGAAAAAGGTTAAAATAAAATAAAGAAAGAGTGTAGTTGGGTGTGGTGGCACACACCTTTAATCCCAACACTTGGGAGACAGAGGCAGTCAGACCTCTGTGATTCAAGACTACTGCCTGAGATGATCAAGCCTCACAGGATGCTCTAGTCATGACTTGATGATAATTCTAAATTTTCTTTAGGTCCCCATAAGATTATCAGTGCCCCCAACCAGCAGGAAGTAACCTGGAAAACTACAACCATATTCCAAAAAAATGGATTATGGATATTTTCCTTTGTTTAGAATGTTGATTACAAGTTGTTATGGATAATGGTCAGGAGAAAAGCTAAACAAAGGATATTAGAATCAGAGTTCTTGTTCCTTAAAAAGAAGGGGTGGTGGTGCTGTAGGACAATTATTTGTACCCTGTCAATTGTATTTTAATAAAACGCTGATTGGCCAGTAGTCAGGCAGGAAGTAAAGGCAGGACAACCAGGCACAAAGTAGAATAAGGACCAGGCAGGACAGAAAAAAACCTTCAGACAACAGACATGTATTCAATGATACATAGATATTAGCTGTTATGTCAATGATAACCAAACTACAATCCATAGAACCACAGAGGTTAAGTATAGAGTAAGGGACTAGGGGGTACACAAAGATCTCATTAGGAAAGAGAATTAGAAAAGAAATACTTATGGATGGATGGGGAGGTTTAAATAGGAAGATCAAGTGTGTGGTAGAGGGGAGAACAGAATGAGAGAGGGAAAATGAGGGAGGGAGACAGCTAAAATTTAGGGCCATTTGAGGTGTTATATTGAAACCTATTACTGAGTCAGAGTGAATGGAGGACACCAAGGAAACAAGGTCCTATATCTAAATCAACAGGATCAATACACATAGGAACTCACCGAAACTGATACATAGGGCCTATACTGGTATACACTAGACTGCATAGAAAGGGGGATACATGCCCCCAATCCCTAACGCTGAAGCCATCTCTAATTGATAAACATTTGCAAATGAAAATTTAGTTTTCTCCAAGGAAGTCTCACTGTGGAAACAAACTACTCTTAAGCTGCTTCTTCAGCAGTAGATGGCCAACAGAAAATGAACTAACAGCATCTTTGGAGGTTCCTTGCCTCATAATGTCCTGCCAGGGCTTTTACTTTACCTTTCCTTCTTTCCTTCCTTCTGTCCGGGTATGTATGTATCCATCCATCCATCCATCCCATCTATGGAGGCAGTGTTTCTGTATAGCCCCTAGCTATTCTGGAACTCTGTAGATCAGACTGGCCTCTGCCTCCCAAGTGCTGGAATTAAAGGTGTGGCCTTTTTAAATTTTACCTTATTTTATTTATGTTTTTTTCTTCTCTCTTTTTACCCTACAGATCCTCTGAGTATAATATTATGGCTTCCAGTTTAGTGTTTTTATGGGATTCCTAAGTGTTTGAATGAGGGGTCTCTGTGTCTCTATCTGTTTCTTCTGACTTTTCTTGGGCTCTTTGTCTTCTGTTTGCTTTGTCTTGTTCTGAAGTTTTTGTTTTTTCTTATTTTATTATCCCTTAGAAGCCTGTTTTCTAATAAAAGGGGTGGACCCAGATTGGGGATGTGGGTGGGGAGAAGAACTGGGAGGAGTAAGGGAGAGGACACTGTAATCATCTCATACTATGTGAGGGAAAAAAAAAAAACTACTTTCAACGAAAAGAGGAAAAAAAGAAAAGTCACATGACAATGAAGTCTACAGCAGGAAGGAAACATATAAAGAACATATACCTGTATAGAGATATAGACTCTAGGAATCTCATGGTCTCTTCCCAGTAATATGAGAAGAAATCAGGAGGATAGGTGGGAGCTGCTGAAATCAGCAATTGCCACCAAACATAAGATCCCCAGGGCTCAAGAAAATACAAATCAACAGGAGGATAAGCATTTGAAAAATTTTTGAAAACTATGTAAAAAAAAAAAGAAGAAAGTGAGGTAATTTGGCTTATGTTTATGATTTATGCCATTTAAAAAAAAGTATTTTAAGAGGCAGGCAAAAGCATTTTGTCCTAAGTACTGCCATTTTGACTTCAGACTCCATTTTACCTGCAGAGTGAAATAAAGTTCAGGTTCCCAAACCCCAGGGGAGCTGGGAACTTTCCAGTGGCTGACCAACCTCCTCCCCTAAAGCATAGAAATAGCCATTATGCATCTTTAGTTTTCTAGAAACATCATGGCTGTCCCTAACAACAGAAAGAACAAATAAATCTGATTGGTTGGACTGAAAGGCTTGCATTGTATGTTAGTTGATAATGATGGAACACACAAGGAAAGTCCCTAATCTTTGATTTCTGATTGGTGAAAATTATAGCTATAATGTGGCAACAAATTGTTTGTGATTTGTGTGTGTGTGTGTGTGTGTGTGTGTGTGTGTGCTTATAAACCCTGATTTTGCCCCTACTTGGCACTGTCAGGAGAAACAGCATTGTCTCCTCCTTCCTTGTGGTGCACAATGAACTAGGTATAACAATCTGTATATATATCCTATGTTTAATATGTACCTATTATAGTACTAGTATATCTGGCACATAACAAATTACATAAACATAAAAATATTTAAAAGGATAAAATCTTTGAGATCTCTTAAAATCTTATTTTTTTTTTCAAACTTTTCAGTGAAATTTTATTAGGTGTTGCATCATGATTCAGGGTCCCAGAGTAGGGACCATCATATACCCAGGTCCCCCTTTACTGCAGGGGGAGGAGAGCGAACAGAGGAGAGGTGGGTGGAGCCAGGTCAGATCTTCCCAGGAAATGTGCCTTCTGCTCTGCTTTCATCCCAGGCTGAGACCCATGATATGGGGCAGAGGGACTTGTATACACGTCGGTACCACTCACACACGGAGACATCACCCCCCTTTGCGGTCATTGCCTTCTCGCAGCGGTGGAAGTCCAGATAGTTCTGCCAGCAGTTCCTGGTCTGGTTCTGGTTTGGGAAGCGGCTGTCAAAGGGGGCAGTTTTGTAGTTCTTGATTTTGGTCTTGATGTCTTCAGCCATGGTGCCAACTCCTAAAGACTGCCCTGGAGCAGCAGTAGTTCAATGTGACCCTTAAGCAAAGGCGACAATGTCCTAAAATCTTATTTTTTTAATGTGTTTCTGTGGTTGTTTGTATGTGCACCACATGCTTATATGTACCCAAGATGGCCAAAGAGGGCATCAGAATCCCTGGACCTGGAGCTACATACACGCAGTTGGGCTATCCAATTTGGGTGCCAGGAACCTCAGTCCTTTGCAGGAACAGCAATGACTTTGACCACTGAATCATCTCTCAAGCTCCCAAGAGATAACATTTTTAAATGCCACGTTAACAATGATAGCTTCTTATTAATTCCAAGTCATCAAATGCACTTAAAGCGTGGTTCCCAAACAAAGAAACTTGCTAGTTTTCAAATTCTTGATCCCATTTCCCCTTTTGGTCACTGCTCCTAAGCTTACAGTGAACTGCTAAAGTGCCTATGAGGTACCTGCTATGTCACTCTAATGCTGCTCTGCCTAGACAAATATTATCACTATCATAGCTGGGATAAGGCCTCAAGGACTGAAAGAAATCAAGGCTGGTAGAAAAACAAACCTATCAATTCCATATAGCTGATACTACAAAGCACAAATCAGATAGCAGGTAGGAATTAGTTGTATTGAATGCCTTTAATCCCAGCACTTGGAAAGCAGCAGAGGCAGGCAGATCTCTGAGTTCAAGGTCAGCTTAATATACAGAACAATTCTAGGATAGCCAGAGTTACTCACAAAATGGTTATAGCTTTCTATACAGCACATATCTCCTTGTCAGCTAATTGTGTATTTAATTCCCAGGAACACCAGGCTGTCATCTACTATGAGCAGCCCTGATTTCTCTGGGCTCTGCTTCTGTAATATCCCAAACTGGTTCAGCTCAACCTTGAGTACAGATCAAATGGAAGAACTCCTTATTTACCTGCTTCACTTTTTCTCTGAGGGGAGGAAGGAACAAACACACAAACAAAAAGGTTCAGGGTGGTCTTGAACTCATTCTCTAGTTTTAGCCTCTAAATTGCTAGGAACACAAACTGCATGCACCATCACTTCCTGCCACAATCACTTTCCATGTGTTCTGTACCATGCAATGTAGGGACTTCCAAGGCTGCTAAAACTGAGGGGCTTTTGTAAGCAACCTCCATATAGGACTTCCCATGAAGTGAGACTACATGTTTTATGACAGAGGCTTAGAAATGGTAAACCATAACCTTAAATCGTTTTATTTAAAAACAATTATCAAGTTCCATAAATCTATTTACCCAAAACACGTATAAATGATAATTTGGGAGTTTGGTAAAGCAAACTAACCAAACAAAACAAAAATAGAGATTATAATATATAAAGACCTGTAACTTCAGGACAACTGTAGTGTTTGATAAGTTGAACATTATGACAGTTATTTTTTTTTTCCCTAAACTATACAAAACTACCAATAGAGGTTGTGGCAGCCTCAACTGCTCCCTACAACTGAGAAGTATCGCATACCTAAAGTACTAAAGGCCAAACTCAGGGCTGTGCACAGCAAGTGTCCTACCACTGAGTTCAACTCCTAGCCCTTCAATCATTACGTCCAAAGTTAATTTCTAATAAAAAGTTCTATTTTTTCCCTCACCTCAATGTATCCATTGTTGTTGTTTTTATTATACACTATGACTCCCCATCTCATCTGAAGACTACTTTTTAGTGTATATCAAAAATGCAGGGCCAGAGAGGAATTTAACTTAGGTAATAACATTTGCCTTAATACGCATGTGTTTGGAGAAAAAACAAGCAAAACCCAAACCAAACCAAACCAAACCCAGGTGTCGTGACTGTAATCCCAGACAGAGGTGGGATGGGGGTGGGGGTGGGGGGTGGTGATCAGAAATCCAGGTGGTAACTGTAACCCCAGGCAAGGGGAGAGGATGGAGGATGCTGAAGGGAAAGAGCCCAAGACAAGATTTCAAAAACAGTAACAAAGACCTCCAAAAACCCTGAGCTGGAGGCTGGAGAGATGGCTGAGAAGTTAAGAGCAGCACCTACATGTTAGTTCATATACTAATCCCAGCACTCAGGAGGCAAGAGATTAAGAGTTTAATTCATAACAGTAGCAAAATTACAATTCTGAAGTAGCAAGGAAAATAATTTTATGGTTGGGGGGTCACCACAAGATGAGGAACTGTATTAAAGTGTCTAAGTAAAAGGAAGGGTGAGAAACACTGCTATAGAAGCTTCTGAAAATATATACATATATGTAAGAAATCTAAATGAAATCACAAAATAACAGGGGAGAGAATGCTCCAAAAGATTCATCAAAATGTCCCAAAATGCCAAGTGAAATCTCCAGTGTCAGGAATGGGTTACATGGTGCCAAACCATTGGCTAAAGGCGTCCCATGGAACAACCCCTCAGCCTAAACATCACTTGCTCTTGCCAAGGCTTGGTTCCTCTCTACAACCTGATGGTAAGGCCTCTAGCTGAAAACAACACTTTCTTATGTCATTGAACATGGAAAAATCTAGCAGGTGTCTAACTAGATATTTCATCTCTACTGACTAGCATTCCTGGTCTTGGCACTCTGAATTGAAACAGAGGACAAAGGTGATTGATCATCAATATCATCCAGCTACAAACCATTTAACCTATAATAATGATCTACCCACAAGATATATACTGTTGTAATATGACACCTATGTTATGACAGAAACCAACGTTAAATACTTTTTGATTGTATTTAAATCCCATTCCACGAGGTAGAATTCATACCCAATATAGCTAAAGTGAGCAGGAATATGAAACTAGATAGGTCATGTGCCTAGGGGAAAACCTAGTACTACTATTCTGCTAAAGGAACACAACAATTAAAATGACTCCTAATGATATACTGCTATAACTCATAAATCGGTACCTCCTTCAACCCACATCAGAAAGGCTTCTTGTAATCTATGGGGATTAACACAGAGTACTAAACTGGACAATGTACAGAAAGTGACTTTGAATCCCTCAGTCCTAAACGGAATGACTTCATCAAATCCTTCTCCTCAAGGCTCAGGGATCTATGCAGAAGAGACTGTAAAGATTGTAAGGGCCAGAGGTGACAGATGACTCCAAGTGTCATCTATACACAACAGGACTAATGCACATATGAACTCAGTGACTGTGGCAGCACCCACAAACCTTTACAGGGTCAAGTAAGATGCTATTTATAAACAAGAAGCTATTTACAACTGATATCTGCTGGCAAAGGGAAAAATCAGTTTTCTCCAATGGAGCATCCCTGGGTATATCAAGCATGCCCAGGAGTAGTTGGCCAACACAACATGAACTCCATGTTTTTGTTGTTAATATTCTTATTTTTTTATGAACTTTTTGCTTCATCTTTGTATTCTTTGTTGCTGTACTTGACTTTTATTTTTAATTTGTTTGATGTTTTGGTTTTTAATTGTGCTTTGAAAGAGAAAGAAAGAACATACAGTTGGTTGGGTAGGAAGGTGGGATCTGGGGGGAGTTTAGGAGGTAAAAAAACATGATCAAAATAAAAAGCCAAAGCACTTGGGTGTGTGTGGGGGGGGATTCTGCTATGACTCTGTAGCACAAGTAATAAAAATACAGAGACAAATATTGGGGTTCAACCTGAAGATCAGAAAAGCAAAACAGTCAAGCCACTAGAGAGCTCTTACCTCTAAGAAATCCTCAGACTGAAAGAGAGCAAGGTCCTATCTCATCCAGGTCTTATATTCCTCTCTAAGGCTGGGGTTAAAGGCATGCAACACCATTGCCAGACCTCTAGGGGCTTAGTTTTATTATCTTCAGGCAAGCTTTATTTATAAAACATAAATATCACATCACTATAATGACTCAGCTCCAAGGAACTAACATTAGTTAATAGATCAACTCCCCAATTGTGTCTATATTGTAAATTGTCAGTTAACAAAATTGGGAGGGCTCCAGCACAGCTCAGTAGTAGAGTGCTAGCCTAGCATTCAAGAGAGACTGGGCTTACTCTCCCAACACTGCAAAATTAAATCAAACGTCTTAGAGGTGGGAGAACACGGATGGGACTGGAGAGATAGATGCCTCATCAGTTAAGAGGGCCTGCTACTCCTTTAAAGATTGGTTCCTAGCACCCATCAGCAACTCACAACTGCTTCTAACTACAGCTCCAAGGGATCTGACAGCCTCTTCTGGCCTCTACAGGTACTCACAGCTTGCCACCAAGCCTGGTTATGAGGGATCTCAATCCTCCTGAGACTACATGATGGGAGAGGAAAACTTCCAAATGTAAGTCATGAGAGATGCAAGAACACAAAATGTTAAAACTAACAAAATCTTTAATAGCTAGATGTTATGGTTCACAACTGTAATCCTAGCTAGCAGTTGTGAGTCTTGGGCAGGAAGATCAATCACTACAGATCCAATCAAGGGCAGCCTGGGTTAGAAAGAACTTACTTTAAATAATAAGTAACCTTAAGCCTTTACACAGGGTTCATTTTGTCTTTTCCTTAGTATAAAAAGGTGTTTTTATTTAAACGTTTCCTTTTCTTTTCACTTGTTTGTTTCTGACATGGTTTCTCTGTGATAACAATCCTGGCTGTCCTGAAACTCACTCTGTAGACCACGCACACGTTATACACACATACATACAAGCAAAACACACATTAAGAAGAACATGGGGGAGGGGGAACAAAAAGAAACCTTAAAATATGCCTAAGAATTAAGAACTGGTGGCTTCATGGTAATGTGTGATTTTATTCACAAGGCTTATTCCCCAGCATAAGTATTACATACACATAGAACTTAAGAACTAAGACTTATCTGGGCCTGATAGAGCATGCCATGCCTTTGAAACCAACACTCAGGAGGCAGAGGCCAGTCAGGGTTTACATAGTGAGTCGTGTCTCAAAAACAAGCAAGAAATAAGATTTTCCAGACAGTGTTGGTGCATGCCTTTAACTCCAGCACTCAGGAAGCAGAGGCAGGCGGCTCTCTCATTGAGTTCAAGGCCAGCCTGGTCTATAAAATGAGTTCCAATACAACCAGGACTACACAGAGAAACCCTATCTTGAAAAACA